GCCATTTCTTCTCTCGGACTGCCTGCTCCAGATTTGCAACATCCGCCAACAGGTACCCAGCTTCTTCAGGAAACGATGAGCATCTCCAATTGTGAGCCTACTGAAAGAGGAGCCTTTCCCACTTGTTACTCACTTGGTTTAGTAGGTAATCCGGAGGGGTCTTGACGAGATGCCTTTCAGCCTGTCCAGCCGAGCAAAGAACTCCCCCCTGTCTCTCCTTGGGGCAAAGGAGAGACCAACTCTGGATCATAGCTGTTACCTTCAGTAACAGCACCTGACCACTCTTCCACTTTGTACCCTGAAAGCATAGACAATTTCTCAGTTTCCAAAGCCTCCACAGGGCAGCTGAGCAAAACATGTTTTCTACTATAAACTTCTTATTACTAATCCACATGATTGTTAAATCTTTATTTCTGCACGAGCAATGATTCTTACACAATATGCTTGCTTTCATCCCTCAAATTGATGCCAGTGTTTAAAGTTTAGAAGCATAGCTTTTACTAATAAGTAATAACACCTATCAGTCCTTTTAATGCACAATCCCTAAGTTTCCCACTATGTCATGTTTAATGTCTGACTGTAAGATGGGTCTTGCCTTTTTTTTTTATTTGCATTTTAGATAATTTTGGCCACCAAAGTTGCTGGTTATTCAGAGAGGTCTGCATTTCTTCGTGACAACGCAGAAGTGGTGCGTGTTGATGCTGCCAATATCAAAGAAAGTGTTGAAAAGAGCCTTAAACGCTTGTCTACAGATTACATTGATTTACTTCAGATACACTGGTCAGTGTTAGCTTGATTCACCTGTATGGCTGTATGCCTGCCAAAAACAATATTTAGGTTCATTTTTCTGTTTTTAGTATTTTACCAACATACATGTAAACATTCCATTAAACATCAGTATGGGTTTTTTTTCTTGTACAGAATTATATCAATTTTTTAAGGAAACTGGTGAATGTATTGATGGGGAAAGTCAATATGCCTTTTCTATTATATGCTTCATATAAGGTTCAGCAGGTTCTTATATCACTGATTAATAGGGAGAAAATATGAATGAATATATTAACTGAACTCTTCTTGGAGTTCCATCTGTGTTCCTTGTAAAATATAGGTTACAACATATGGGAGACTTAACCAAGTAAATTTCACTATTTCAGTTCATTTCGTTTCACCCACTCAGTCAGTTTGAAGTAGTTGTTTCTTTTGCCTTTTGCACCAGCTTTCTTTGAGTGCAGTTCTGTGAGTTCTTTAACTGCCCATGTAAACTTTTTGGATCGGAGCTTTTTCTGTTAGATTGATATATATCTATTTGCAATTGAACTGAATCAAATAAACATTTCTGGTTCCAAAGTTTTTCTTCATGTGTCCAGGCCAGATAGATATGTGGCACTATTTGGTGAATTTAGTTATAATCCAACCAAATGGAGGCCAAGCATCCCTTTTGAGGAACAATTGAAGGCTTTCCAGGAGCTAATTGACGAAGGAAAGGTGAGATTTTTGTTATTAGTATTCTTATACGAGCAAAATAGTAACACATAAACATTTTTCATGGGAAAACATATAACATTGCACAGTTGCTATCATGGTCGGCAGGACCTACCAACATAAGAAAGGAAAATCCAAAGTGGCAGGTTAAGGAAATAATGGATTTAAAGAATCGCCCAGCTGTCATAGCCTCATAGGTTTAGGTTTACTTTTCGAGTTGCAATCAGACTGGAATATTGGATTCTATTCATAAAAATCAATCTATTAGGAGTTGTATTAGGGGTCAGGTCTTTCCCCTCTAATATATGGAGGGAGTTATCAATGAATGGTCAAGCAGCGTGAGGGAATTTTCCCCTCTGCCTTTGGTTTACACTTTACAGGGCCTCCCCCTCTACCATTGCATCAGCAGCCTCCACCTGACCACCATGGGTGCCCCCTGCTCGCTACTCGGCTGGGGCCCTTGTCCAGCCAAGCCCTCTCCCCTCTCCCCTCCCCTGAATTGAATCTCTGATAGTTACATATCTGATCTTGATGTGGATACAGTTTACAAGTTACAACATGTGCTGGTACTATCTGTTTTAAAATGTTACATAATATGCATCAGGTAACAGCCATGTAAGTATTTTTTTTACAGAAAAAAAGTAGCTTATCAGCATGGAACTCTTGTGAAAGTAGAGGCACATCGAGTAGTTAAAACTTTTGTCTCAGTGCTGACAGCTCATTCAGAAGACAATCAACAAGAATATCAAGTTGTTAATCATTGTCTAATGTTATCTCTACTTTAGGTTCGCTATATCGGTGTTTCGAATGAGACCTCATATGGAGTAATGGAGTTTGTACATGCTGCAAAGACTCAAGGCCTTCCAAAGATCGTGAGCATCCAGAACAGTTATAGTCTACTTGTGAGATGCCGCTTTGAAGGTGAAAACATTGATTTAGTCCATCCATTTCATTCATAGGAACTCTCTTAGTAATGCCCTCATTTCTGAAATTGTACCAGTATTTTGAGAATTCCCTTTGATTTCTCATACAATTAGAAAGGCCAGTTTCCTCTTAACAAACAAATATTAAATTGCCGATATACATCTTTTCTTGCTAATATGTTTCATGAGATTTTCTAGTTTCTCCATACAAGGTGTTGCTAAAAATGGAAATGAAGGTTTGTGCTAATGGGTGACAATGTATTTAATAGAAACTGGAGTATAAACTAGCTGGGACAGTGTCATTTTTCTTCTTATTATGAGGTGTTGCTGAAAAGAGGAAATATGGACTTTGTGCTATTGGGTAGTGATTTGTTTGGTAACATATTTTTTGCTTCGTGCTTTTCGTATAATGTGATTTGCAGCCTCTCTTGTCTATACCGAGTGCAACCAACAACTGACTTTTAACCATATTTTGTTTCATCACAGTTGATCTTGTTGAAGTTTGCCACCCAAATAACTGCAATGTTGGACTGCTTGCCTACTCCCCATTGGCTGGTGGGGTTCTCACTGGGAAGTATCTTGATGTTAACACTGACATCTCAAAGAGTAGGCTAAATCTCTTCCCTGGATACATGGCACGCTACAATGCTTCTTTGGCTAAAGTATGATATATACTATAACAAATTTGTTTTTGTCCTAACTGTTGTGTTCGTATGCATTCTACTTTACTTTGATTAATTTTTTATGGCAGGAAGCAACATTAGAATATGTAAAGCTTGCCAAGAAGCATGGGCTAACTCCAGTCCAGCTTGCCCTTGGCTTTGTGCGTGACCGTCCATTCACTGCTAGCTCCATCATTGGAGCAACCACCATGGACCAGTTGAAGGAGAACATTGACGCGTTTACTAGCACTCCACGGCCTTTACCACAAGAAGTTCTTGACGGTATTGAGGATCTTTTCAAGAGATATAAAGATCCGGCAATCCTCTAGGTGTTCATTCACCATTTTTCTAGGTGTTCACTCGCCATTTTGACAAAGAGAACCAGCAATCCTCAGACAATACAGAGACCCAGCAAACATATTACAACCTATGATCATACCATTTTGTTCATGCTGATACAATTATTGCTTTAATCTTCCATTGGCTCTACAGATAATACCAGCAGTTTTTTTTCCCTTTTGCTGTGTAAGTAGAATACAATTATAAAGTGAGTCCAAAAGAAGACATTCTTTTATACTCTGTTAGTAAGTCTATGATGTCTTCGACATTGACAGGTCTCCAGTGGACAGGTTAAACGAATACTCTCTATATATGGTAATAATAGTAAAAAAATTGTTAAATTACAAGTTGCATTTTTTTCATGATATAAATCCAATGATACTATTCTAATATGAGGAATCCAAAGACCACACCATTTATAGGAAGTTATACGTTTACGAAGGGCACTTGTATTGTTTTTCTCTATCAAGTTATCATGTTTGGAAGGTAGGCATTTCTTCCAATGGAGGTCCACCATTATAAACATGGCTGGCTGAGCAGCCTTACCTTACGCTAAGTTGCTGGACACTGAAGCAGTGGAACTGCACTGGTAGATGGTAGTTCATGACTTTGCAGGCCTGCAACAAAATCAAGTTGCCATGAAAAAGGTCTGCGCTGCTGCGTCAGTGTATGTCTCAATTTTTACTTTACTATTCTTGCATTGTAAAGTTCTTGGGCTCCTTCGTGAAAAAGGGGAAATACTGAGAACAGATTGCTGATCAAAGATAATTGGCATGGAAGAACAGTTCCCAGGAGCTCAGAATAGGTCAGGGGTTCTGACTTCAGTTTCATCCTGAAATGCTAAAACCTGCTGATCACAGATCTCGCACAGGATGTTATCCCACCCAGGATATCTTGTTTCCTGCACGACTGGATGAGCGTGTTTGGTTCAAGGAACCATATCATGCGGAATGAGTTGATCTCTCGTGGGTTCAGCTTGGCTAGGATCGGACACACGAAGAATATGGTCGTCCGCTGATTTCTGAGGAGCCGGATGGTCACAGGAAATGACTTGCGCATGGATTAGTCGGTGTCGGTGACGAATGGATCCGTTTGATGAGGCAGACCAAACGGCACGGCTAGCTTTGGTTTTTGGATCGGATCTCCATCTGATGAGGCAGACCAAACGGCACGGCTAGCTTTGGTTTTTGGATCGGATCATTCCGGATCATACGGCAACGCAAACCAAACACGCTAGTGCTGCAAAACAGACTCATGAGAGGAAAAATTGAAAGCAATTCTAAGAATACATACATGCCTTTTGTGAGTTGACAATATCGCTTACCAAACTCTGAGACATTTTAATTGATAGGGCCTCGCTAAAATGTCGATGTCCCCTCACATTTGCACCTTGCCATACGCATAAATAAAATTACAAAGTACACAATAACCTTGCAGTCCCAATAATCAGCAAAGTCAAAACATATTCACATCCTACCAAGCATACCATCTATACAATTGAGTAAGATCACTGGACAAAGAAAAAGCGCATCCCCACCCACCCAGATGGCCAGGTGAATTCTTCATTCTCAGCAGACAAGGTCATGTGCCCTATTCATGCTTCCGCACAATGCTGTACATCATCAGAGTAGTCAAAATCTTGGGCTTTCCAATTTTGACTTTTTAACAGTCGACTGTTACCCCTGTGACCATTCTCTGCTACTTCCAGGTCATGTAATTCAAGCTGCTTTCGTACCCAGGGAGGGTCGTCTGGACGAAGCCATATTTTCTCACGAGTGTCCTTGTGCTTGAAATCAGGGTAGGTGGGCCATGGTTTGGATTGTCGGTTGTCCCACCATTCATAAGGGTTGGCAAAGAAGACCTGCCACAAGCGAAACCGGCCTATACACTCATTCTCTTTTTGCATTTGAGCTGACAATGTAAACAAAGGGGACTAATAAGAGACGAATAGCTACAATTGCAAAATTGTACGAGTAAATGGGCAAAACTTACGGGTGACAGATGGCATTGATGGTGGACTTGTTGAGTCTGCATCATTCTGAGGTTTATTTTGATCAAGAACATAATTCAGTTCACTGACATAAATCTGTAACATGATGGGTTCCCAATTAAAAACGTATGAAAGCGATAGTGCACTGAAAAATTTAACAAAACTAATACTATCACAAAGCAAAATTGAATAAGTAAATATCGTGCACATATTTATGTTCACTAATATCCGATTGCCAAAAAAAAAAATGTCTACAACATTGCGGTATTAAGACATTGAATAGATGAATTTATATACCAACGGTAGGAATTTATATGAACACAAGCCCACGTCTGATCAAAGGTTGCATCAGTACTAGATGTATATATGATCGCATGTCCACATCTCACCATCAAAGGGTGCATCAGTTAGACGTATATTACAATTTACAAGACACAAGATCTACTGACACAACACATGGGTAGGTGGTACTACTACGGACTTACGGAGCCACTAATTGTACAGTTGTTTTTTAACAGACGAGCATATATTCAGAATGGTAAAGAAAATAATAAACATAGTTACAGCTATCGGACCTTATAGAAAATATACCGTTCACCACTTGGACTGACTTTATGATACGAGCCCAGATGACCAGATACATAAACAAGGTCATTGCGCTTCAGATGCTTTAGGCTAACATTTGCCAGCTCACCGTTCAACTGCAGTATCACTCTGTTCAAGTTTTTTATATCGGAAGCATAACAATAGAATCTCAGTTTCATTTAACCAAAACCACAATAAAGTTACTTGAACAAGAACATATAAATAAATCTATTGTTGGATAACCTTGCTTAGGTTCTTCATACTGTAAGCATAGTTATACAACCTAACTTTCATTCAGTCCAAATCATAATAACAGTTGAACAAGAACATATGTAGTTAGCTGGTAGTAGGAAAAACAAAAGGAAAAAAACTATTGTTAAATCAGGCATACATTGTGGAGCTCCTGATTTGTTCCTGGGTATCATGAAAATGAGTTTACTTATGCTATTTTCTGGAAAATAGTGCTTTCTTTGCTTGATGGATACATTCTCTATTTGGATGGTAGATTGGCTTTTCTTATTTCAGTGTATTCATTGTGATAGTCATATTAGCAACCCAACAAACTAAAACCATTTTTGTTCAGCAACATTCATAGCATTCCATTAAAGCCAAATTTTGAAATCAACAATCCAAGTTGATTCTTGCACACTAAGCATGAGAAGATTTAGCCTTAGTCAAACATAAGGCTTCCAAATTTGGATGCATAACGATTTGGAAGTATGACTTTGACTTTGTTTGGTGCGAAATGCCCCAAGCTATTCATGATGCACCAAATTACTTTATACCAAGATGGCAGACCTTGAGCTAAATGTTTGCTCCACTGAAGCAGGGAAGATGGGTTATTACCAGGATGGAGTAAATGGCATAACAGAAAGTTCCTACTGATTTTGTTAGAACTGTGCTCAATTGTGTTATGCTCGTATGCCCTTTGTTTCTCATAGGGCTTAAAACACCAAGTTTTACACAAGATAAATATATGCATTAACTTATTTCTTCTACTCACTAGGACAAAAGGAAGGGATTAATATTTTAACTGAAGCATATTAAATCTACATAGTGGTTAAACCATACTTGCGCCGGAGCAAATAGGGGAACAACATGTTGCAAAGCGAAATCCACATCATATATACTACAGAAAAGAAGGACACGAGAATGCATCCAATTTCTAGGAGAAATTGAAAAAAAACTCTGCAGCAAGCGAGAAAGGAAATAACACGAGCATTGGCTGGGGGCCGGGAGCGAGGGACTCAACGTTAACTTGGACGAGCTCGAGGAGGGCGCGGGCGACGAGGGGGTGACGCAGAGAAAGGTGTACGCCCTGGGGTCTTCATCGGAGCTACCGTCGAACGGCCTCACCGGTGCGTCGAGGCGACCGATGAGGCTGCACGAGTTCCAGGTGAGCCCCTTCTTCCTGACGGAAGAGGGGCGCCGCAGCATCGACATGCGGTACGCCACGCTCTCCGGCTCCCCCGAGCTACATCCACCACCTCCTCCACCGTTGTGAAGCAGCCGACGGAACGCCGCCGGCGTCCGCGAACGCACGGTGGCCGCTCCGCCGACGAGGCGCCGCAGCATCCTACTATGTTTTTCTAGGGGCTCTCTCTGCCGGCTTGGTACAACGAGATGAGCTTTTCTGTCAATCTCACCGGGCCCGGCTTTGGTTGTCGCGGATGGCGGCGTGGTGGTGGGCGGACGGGGGCGCGGCGGCGGTTTAGTGGCGGGCGGACTGGGGCACGCCTTCTGGCGCGGATGGCGGCGTGATTGTGGGCGGACGGGGGCGCAGCGGCGGCGGCGGCGGCGGACAGCAGGCCAGTAAGCACGGCTCGCGGACAGGGACTACGGAAACGACGGGGAGGGGTTTTGTTTCCAAAAAAAAAAAGACCCACGGAGAGTATTGTTGTCTCATCTTATTATATCTATTAGTAGTAGTCAAAAACGTAGAAAAGAAAATGTAATAAAAGATTGTGCTTCTCGTATAAGCACACCCCGCCGAGCCTAAGTTGCTATGGTTCGTCTATGTACGGCACGCATACTCTGTAACAAAAATATAATAGAAGAGTCGATGGAGCTGATATATTTTTATATTTAATATATTTTTATATTTAAAGTTTTATTAGATATAGGATATCTAATGAAGTTAGTCTAAAAGGACAAGCAAATTACAAAACTGAGAGTGTCAGGCACTAAGGATTAAGGAATCTAAATCTCTTATTTATAAAGTAAAATCCCAGTCGCGTAGAAAAATCGTATCTTCTCGCGTACCAGGGTTTGTCGCTCAAAAAAATAATATCTTTCTCATTGATGTTAGATAAAGATACTTTGTATATGAATTGTAGCTCTCAAGGAGATACATAAATTTCTAATTTGAGTTTTGTCATTTGAGTTCGTTATAAGATGCTCACAAAAATAATGTTAAGTTTCAGTAATATATTAATTGTGTGCCAGATCTTGTCGCCTTAAAAAATCATATCTTTGTTGTATGGTGTTAGGTAAAAACACTTTGTGTATATAAATGAGTAAATTACACGGCCGGTTCTTAAAGTATTGGACGGGTTTCATATGGGTCACAAACTATGAAATCGCACGTTTAGCTCTCTAATGTATTTAAGTGATCTCATCTAGGTCCAAAATAGACATGAGAAGGATTAGAACCTGACGTTGTCGTGATTTAAGCATGATCCCGTAGGCTACCGCCGCGTGGATGGTGCCCCAACCTGGCCCTGCCCGGCGCAGCTGGTTCCTGGCAGTGGCCTCCTTTTCCTCGAGCGCGCTCTGTGCTCCTCTTGCTGCCTCTGCTCCGCACTAGGGAACCCCTGAGCCAGCATCCCACGGTGCCCTGCGTCCACTTCACTTGTTGCGGTTGGCGTCACCAGGGCGCTGCTCATCTCGCGTTGTGCGTCGCGGGGGCGGAGCATGGCCTCGGCGCTCCGGCGTAGGTGGCGTAGGCGCTCAACGGCGGGGATGGACGCCAATAGGTGGTGGGGAGGCCTCGCCGTCCTCCTGCGAACACACAGGGCCCAACAGAGGCGGCAGAGGTGGTTGAACGAGGGAGATCGTGAGCTAAAGTTGGGCTTGGCAATGGCGGTAGCGGTGAACTTTGGCGATGGAGAGAGGAAGGAAGCACAGGAAGGGACGGGGTGTATGCAGCGTGCTAGCTCAGGCGCCTTTTATAAATGGAGAGAGGAGAGGGGTAGCTCGCGGTTGTGAGCTCGTGCACAGGCCGGCAATGGCGGCCGCGACCTGAGCGTAAAGGACGCCGCCGCCAGCCGAGGCAAGTGTGGACGCTGCCACGCTGGGCACCGTGGGACGCTGAGGCAGCAGACCGCAACAGCGCCAGCAGCCATGACCACGGGCGATGGGGAGGCTTGCGTGGTGGTTGCGACGGACGTCGACATCATCTGCTCTTTTAGTTCCGCGGACCTCGCCGACTAGACTCCGCCATGGCGCAAGCATGAGCCCGTCTGCGACAGCGGGCAGGAGCAGGGCGCGGCGGCTGTAACAGAACCGACCAATTATACGAAATTAAGTAAGAAAATCATCCGCCAGATCAGACGATTTAGCAAACTTAAGCCCGTATAACCCGGTAGTCCATAAAATCACGAAGGATTTCAAACCAACTCACATACCAGCCAAGATCGTAATAAGTTTAGCGGTCACCATCACATATTACATAAAAGTTCGCATCACAGATACATCAGAGTTTAAACATAGTTATTACAAAATGAGTTCAAATAGAAGTAGCGGAAGCCATTTGTTCAAAATCACACACACTCACACGGAGTTCAAATACAGTGCCAGCTAATGATCATCTCCAACAAAAGCATCAGACGAGACGTAAGGAATGACCCCGTGTCCCCGTGTCCTACCACACCTGCTCCGGCACAGTGCGCTGCGGGCAATCTACTCGACCCGAATAATCTCCCAGCTTCACGGTCGAAAGGTACTTTATTCGGCCAGCTAAATGTAAGGCATGCGTTCAACATGACCTGAGGCCCAACAACGGTCGGTCCTTAATCGACACAGACTGAAATCACTATAGTCCAAAACTCTGTAAGTCTCCGTCCGGTCTCAACTTCATTTAACACTTAGTTATACCATGACTACATAGTTCTCCAAGTAGATCCAGGTAACCACCTATAGCTCGTAGGTGACAGAAAATCACCCGACTTCTACCGATCTAAGCCAGCTAAGCATTGACTCGACTGCGGATACCAGGGTAATAAGGATATAGTATAACAAAGATAGACAAGGTATAATGCAGCAACGGTTGCAAACAACTCCTGAACGTAATGCATCAATTAAAGTAAAGCATTTAATTAATAATTACAAACCGGGGAGAAAAATGCTTCGGGGCTTGCCTCTCTCGAAGGAGCTCGGGCAGTGATCGGGGCACTTCGGAAGTTCCTCAACGTCCTCCTCATCTGCTTCGGTCACTTCCTGCGGCTGCACCTCGAGCTGTTCCTCGGGGTCCTCGGGTATGACGACTAGGCTCTTGGTTTGCGATCCTGTATGATGCAGGTGCGTAAGTGCTTATGCAAAAGTGCATCGGATGAAATGAACACAATGGATATGCTTGAATGCAAGGTAGTCAACATCATCCAAGAACATATACTACAAGCACATGCCATCTACTGTATTCTCTTATACTACTAATATGCTGAGTCAACATATCTCATTAAATGCTTCAAAGATACACCAAAGCTTCACTAATTTCTTAATCACACATAAGGCAACATTTGATTAAACTCAAATTAATAATAGGTTTGAATAGCAACATCTATTTTTATAGCTTAGAAAAATCTTAGAAAAATACCATAGCACAGTACTACCCTAAGTAGTCTACCATCAGATTTTTATAGCATTTGGATAAGTGGAATAGCCTACACAAAAATGACAAGCTATGGCATAATTATGAACATGAAAATACTTTGTACTATGAAAAGTGTCAAACAACAGATGTAATATTTTTTCTATGTTCTACACAGCAAATAATCACTGTACAAAAATTATTACATGCGTGTTTTATACAAATTTTGCTCTCTAGCAAAAATAACAAAAATCAGCCATTAAAGGCACTTGAACTACACCTCATAATTTTTCTACAGAACATGCATGTCATATATTTTTCACAGAAAGTACATCACCTAAATAGATCAATAAAATTAGAACCATATTTTTCTGACCTATTTTATATTTATTATACATTTCACAAGATATCAGCAATATCAAGAATTAAATAAAGCTCTACATTAAAGTATCTCAAAAATGACATGCAATATTTTTATCAGGTAGATCTGGTGACAAGGAACACAACAAAATTTGTTTCAACAAATTTGGAGCCATTTTGAGCAAGTTATAAATTCCCAAAGCATTTAAACAGAAATCTGAAAAATCATTTCTTAAACCCTTTCAAAACTCAGCCGATGAAAATGTTGGTGCACCCGTGCTGTGCACCTAGACCCGAGCTGTGATACTGACGAAGGGCCCCCACGGTCAACGGCCCCCACACATCGGTCGGTCGACCGAAGCAGCAAAGCGGCCGGCCGGGCTCTCACTGCACGCAGCGGTGAGCCAGCCGACGGTGTGGTCACCACCAGCAGCTCACCCGCGACGAGGCGAACACGGTGCACCAAGAGAAGGCACGGAAGGAGCTCGGAATAGGGCTCGACGGCAGATGGTAAGCGGCGGTGGCGCCGCCACCGACGGCCGGCCATCTCCCACCGAGAAGGGGGCGCGAGAGGTGGTGTGGGAGCTTCACCGAGCTCGTCGGTGTGTTCGTCTGTGAAGGGAGAGAGCGAGAAGGAGGACGGAGGGGCGAGGTCCATGGAGCGGAGTGCTCCAGCGAGCTCGGCCACAACTCCGGCGAGAGATTCCCAGGGAGAGAGAGCTTCTCACGGCTTACCGAGGCGAGCACGAGGTGCGCGAGGAGGAGGAGGAGGAGCTACTGGCGAGATGGAGGTTCAACGACGAGCTAGGGACGGTCACATGAAATTCCGTTCCGGCGGGCGCGGCGCAAGACGGTGGCGAGGGCGGGCGTCTTGCGTCATGGCTGTTGCTGCTTCTTCTTGCGAGCGAGAGCGAAAATGAGATGGAGGAGGGGGCGGACGCTTTCTTTGATGGAGGCGAGCGCGTGGAGGCGAGGCAGCGGGGCGGCAAATGCACACATGGCGGCGTCACGGCCAAGATGGCGGCTACGCCAAGCGAAGGCCCCGACGCTGACCGCCGACCGGCCCCGCTCGAAAGTGGCGAAGCAGACGACGGCAGGAGGGAGCCAGGCGGGCCGGGCCTGCTGTCTTGGTGGGCGAAAAGGAGGCGGCGGCCAAAGAAGGTGAAAAATGAGATTTTTCAAATTATTTTCAATTCCATTTTTCATTCAAATGAAATTTTGAACTATTTCAAAACAGTTTCAAAAGTTGGTGTAAAAATGAAAGTTGTTCCATTTTTCAAAATCTACAACTTTGCTTTTATGACCAAAGTCCAATTCCAGATAGATTTTGAATTACAAAATAAAATCGATATTAACTCAAAACCCTAATTTTTGGAGAATTGTTTAAAAGCAAAATTTGACAAACTTTGAATATGAACTTGGCTCCAAATTGTATCCTAAATATTCATAAGCTATTTTAGTGATCAAAACAAGAACCATGGCATCCAAACATGAGCATGGCATTTCACATCGTTTGAAACATGAATAAATTTTCAATCAACTTAAGCATCACATGAAATGATACTTCATTTTTTTCGAAATGGAATGCGTGAATGATGCTTATGCATGAGGTGATGATGATTATGCTCATGGGATGAAATGGTAATGCACGCTTAACACCGAGGTGTTACAGCGGCGGGGACGACGCGCAGGACTTGGCCTAGCCGGCGATGGCGCGCGGGAAGCGCTCGCAGTCCCGGTGCGAGTCCTCGTCGGCCTCAAGCTCCGCCGTCTCCGCGGATGCGAAGAAAGGAGAAGAAGAAGACGAGGTGCGACACCAGCGGCAGCCCTGCGTCACCCCTTGACTACAGCGGCGGGTCCGGGTCCGGCACGTCCACTAGCGGCGGTGAGGACAGCGCCTTCTGCTCCCAGGCAGAGCCACAAGTATTCCCGTCAGCCGCTGCAGCGTTCTAGCTCGCGCCCCCACCAAGGGGGTTTGTGCCTAAATCATGCCACATGGACAACCACGTCAGCTTCTAATCCTCCTTGTGTCTATTTTGAACCTGAATGAGATCACTTAACGACATTAGGAAGTCAAATGTGTGATTTGATAGTTTGGGGACCCAAATGAAATCGGTCCGATACTTTAAGGACTGGCCGTGCAATTTACTCTATATAAATTATAGATCTTGATAAATTCCTAGTTTGAGTTTTGTCATTTGAGATCGTGAAGAGGCTCTAAAGAATGATATAAAGTTTTAGCAGCATATTAGTCGTGTTTTATGTCATTTTTTTAAAAAAAAATCTAAACGACTTTAAATAAAAAAAATCTACACTAGAAAGTTGAAGGTCTCATCGAGCGCTACATCTTCCGTATACAAAGTATCTTTATCCGATACTATACAAGAAAGACTTGACTTTTTTAGGCAACAAAGCCCGGGTGCGATTAATATACTGTTGAAACTTTATAATTATTTTTTTAGCATCTTAACAATCTCAAATGATAAAATTCAAAACTAGAAATTAGTAGATCTAATTGACAACTACAATTCTTATATACAAAGTATCTTTATCCGAAATCGTACAAGAAAGATATAATTTTTCTAAGGTCACAAGTCCTAGTACGCAATTAATATGCTGCTGAAATCTTATATTATTTTTTAGCTTCTTAAATATATCAAATGAAAAAACTCAAAACTAGATAGTTGTAGATCTCATCAAGAGCTACAATTTTTTTCATATAAAAACTATCTTTGTCCAAGTTCTTACGAAAATATATGATTTTTCTAAGGGGGAGTGTTGTCAATGACACGTGAACACCACCTGTTAGTTCCATACCACGTAGGATAGTGGGTCAGGTAAACACCCGTAAAGATCTGGATGAGACTCATTACAGTTTCATGGAGCCAAAATGTATCTTCGAACTTCAGGGACCTAGATGTATTTAGGGACCTAAATGACAGCTCCAGACAACTTTGAAGAGCGCGGATAAATTTTACTCTTTTCCAGAATTATAAACATCATATGCATTCCAAGGTTTTCTTTTTGTGCACAACAAAATACAGGTGTATTACATTTACCGGTGCATAAATATTCAAGTCAAAGCACCCAATTAGGTAAGTCCAAGTCTCGCATCATTTGCTTTTTCAAAAGTAAGTGTGGTACCGACAGGATCATCTCGATCAGTCGTCTAGAGTCCTTTGCCGTTGGCAAAAGGAAAACTAAAGCTGGCAATGATGATTTTGCATCAGTTATGGCACATACATATACGTCTACGATAAACTCTTTTCTTCTTTTTCCTCTCTTATTTATTAATATAAATACCATGCTTCGCAGGGTCAGAAACTCTTTTCTTTTCTTTTTTTTATTGTCTTGAAATTCGAAAAGGAAAAAATATTCGGAGCTGAATTTATATCTAAGCCACTGATGACAGGTAGGAGAGGTGGCCGTGGCCCGCGGGCCGTGGCATTTCAAAACTGATCCCTTCACGATCTGCGAGCTGCGCCTATGCAGTCTCAACTCTCAAAGTCTCTCAACTGAAACTCAAAGAAATGGTGCCGACCACCATTCTCTTCTATGCCACCATTTTTCTTCTGATTTGCAAGGCCAACGCCAACAGGAGCGGAGGAGCCTACAGGAGGTAGCACTACTGAAATGGAAAGCCTCCTTAGCCGATGCAAATTCCCTGTCTTCAGAGGGCAACTCTACCTACTGTTCATGGCTGGGAGTCACCTGTGACGCCACAGGCCATGTCGTTGAGCTTAGCCTTCCAAGTGCTGGGCTTAGGGGCCCAGCTTGATGCTTTCGACTTCGCTGTGTTTCCAAACCTCACCAAGCTCAACCTCAACAACAACAGCCTAGCAGGTGCCATCCACAATCTCTGTACCAACTTGATGTTTCTCGACCTGTCAAGGAATTGCTTTTTTCATGGACAAATACCAGACTCACTGGCAAAGATGATCCCCAATTTGGTGTATCAGTATCTGAACTTGTCCTCGAATGGGTTTTCGCTTTTCAGGGACAATACCAAGATCGCTTGCGCCGCTAACAAAGCTCCAAGAACTACAACTCGAATCCAATGTCTTCAGTGGAGGATTCCCGGAGACGCTCACCACAATCTCCACGTTGCAGGTCCTCTCATTGACGAATAACACACTCAGTGGGTTGATTTCGATGGGCATTGGTAACTTAACAAGCTTACAGTTCCTTGGTCTGTCATATAATCTTTTTACTGGACCACTTCCCATGTCGATTGGAAAAATGAAACACCTTGAAGGATTGTAACTTTACAACAACAACCTCAACGGGGAAATACCACCGGAGATTGGAAACATGACTGCACTGAAACAGCTTGATCTCAGGAACAACCAACTGAAAGGTGAGATACTAGCAACCATCTCATTCCTCCGGAATCTCAACCATCTTGCACTGGGCACCAACAAATTCACGGGTACCATACCTCTAAACCTTGGCCGCTGGCAGCCACTCCGTCTCATTGGGTTAGCCAATAATAGCTTCTTTGGAGAACTGCCACATGGCCTGTGCAGATCCTTTGCATTAGAAATGCTGATTCTAAACAACAATAGCTTGTCAGGCAAATTGCCATCATGCATAAAAAACTGTTCAAATTTGATATACCTTAGGCTGGGGCAAAACCACCTTTCTGGGTTCTGGCAACATATCACAGGTATTTGGAGTCCATTCCAGCCTAATTGTTGTCGATGTCTCTGATAATCATTTTAATGGAACACTTCCTCCAACTTTCTACTCATATACTTCTCTTCTGATTCTGGACCTATCAAATAATAATCTCTCTGGAGAAGTTCCCAGCTGCTGGTGGAACTTGCAACACCTGAAATTTATGGATCTGTCAAGAAATGCCTTTGTTGGCAAACTTCCAACTGCAAGGAACCATATCTTTTCTCTTGAATGGCTGAACCTGGCAAAACACAATTTTCATGGAGAGTTTCCGTCTGTCATACAGAAATGTGAGAACCTAGCCACACTCGACCTTGAGGGAAATAGATATGACAGCATAATTCCTTCATGGTTAGGTGTGAAAAATCCATGGCTAAGGATTCTTCAATTAAGGTCAAATATGTTTTATGGGAATATGCCAAGGAAGTTATCACAACTTGCTTATCTCCAGCTTCTTGACTTAGCTGACAACAACCTCACTGGTTCTATACCAACTGAGTTTGCCAACTTGAAATCCATGAGGCAACAAAATATGAAACAGTCTATCATATTTCAATATCAGTATTTTGGACAAATTGATGTAAACTGGAAGGGTAATTATTATGAGGTATTTCAGAGAACAGTTTCTCTGGTTACAGAAATGGACCTATCGAGCAACTTCCTCACTGGTGAAAGACCGACAGAGATATCAAATTTACACAGCCTCAAGTTCATAAATCTGTCATGAAATCATCTATCTGGCAGTATTCCAAAAGATATTGGTGACTTGAAGTTCCTAGAATCTCTCGACTTCTCATGGAATCAACTAACAGGCACTATCCCATCAAGCATCGCAAACTTGATGTCTCTTAGTTCTTTGAATCTCTCCAGCAACCATCTATCGGGTGAGATTCCCAAAGGCAATCAACTCCAGACACTCGATGACCCTTCTATTTATGTTAATAATTCTGGGCTGTGTGGCTTTCCTTTGAGCATAGCTTGTCCAAGTGATTCAAGCTCAGTACCATCGTTTGATGAGAAGGGATATCACAAAGATCTTGGCGAATTATGGTTACACTATTGGGTAACGGCTGGGTTTATCTTCAGAATATGGCTTTGGCTTGGAGTTTTAGGTTTCTGTAAGCCTTGGAGGATGGCAATCTTTGACTGTGTGGACAAGATGTAAAACATAGTTATGATTGTATTATATATTTTGTTAGTTTGCTCAGCTCAGTATTTTAGAGTACAAAAGAATGTATTATGAAGTGCTCAAGTAAGTTCGTAGATGCCCTGTTATCTAGTTTGAAGTTTAAACTACACTCTGAAGTTCCCCGCACCTATTGAAATGTGTTAGCCAAAGCATGCACATTGATCTGTTGTCAGTTAGTTAGTTACCATTTACCTGACTCCGTTTCTTTAAGTTGAGTCACATCACATGCACATGACATGTGGACGCCCTGCACGCGTTAGTTGTTCACCGTGGTGTGAATAGTGTGTGGGGCAAGTGCTCCTGATTTGTTCCTAGGTGTCATGAAAATGAGTTGCTTCTTACAATCTGTTTTCTGGCAAATAGTGCTTTCTTTGCCTGATGGATGCATTCTGTATTTGAATGGTAGATTGGCTTTTCTTATTTCAAAGTAGAAACATCACAATGTATTAGCAACCCAACACTTTTGTTCAGTAACATTCATAGCATTCCATTAAAGCCAATTTTTAAAATAAACAATACAAGTTGATTTTTGCACACTAAGCATGAGAAGATTTATTAGCCTTAGTCAAACATAAGGCTTCCAAACTTGGCTGCATAACAATTTGGAAGTATGACTTCGACTTTGTTTGGTGCAAAATGCCCCAAGCTATTCACGATGCACCAAGTTACTTTATACCAACATGGCAGACCTTCAGCTAAATGTTTGCTCCACTGAACCAGGTTGTTACCGCTTACCAGAATGGAGTAAATGGCATCACAGAAAGTTCCTAATGATTTTGTTAGAACTGTTCTCAATTGTCTTGTGCTTGTATGCCCTTTGTTTCTCATAGGTCTTAAGCAACCAAGTTTTACACAATATAAAAATATGTAATTAACTTATTTCTTCTATTCCACCAGGACAAAAGGAAGGGATTGATATTTTAATCGAAGCATATTAACTCTACATAGTGATTAAACCATAACTGGATCTTCCTACTTACGCCAGAGCACGCAATCGAACCTGACGTCTTTTATCGAATACAGGAACAACAAAATATTGCAAAGCAAAATCGGAAATCCACATGAGAATCCACCCAATTTCTAAGAGACGAGAAAAAACCTCTGCAGCAAGCGAGGGAGGAAATAACATGAGGATTGGCTGGGGGAAGCGGGAGCGAGGGACTCAACATTAAGTTGGTCGAGCTCGAAGACGAAGAGGGCGCGGGCGACGAGGGGGTGACGGAGATGAAGGTGTACGTACGCCCTGTGACAAGGCCACCGATGAGGCTCCAAGAGTTCCAGGCGAGCCCCTTCTTCCTGGCGGAAGAGGGACACCGCAGCATTGACATGCGGATGCGGTACACCACGCTCTCCGGCTCCACCGAGCTACATCTACCCTCCGCCGTTGTGAAGCAGCTGACGGCGGCTCCGCCGACGCTGGCGCCGCAGCCGCAGCTGCCTCGTTGATTTTTTTTTAATTTTTTTTTTCTGGAAATACAACTAAATGGGCCTTTCTGTCATTCTCACTGGGCCCGGCTTTGGTTGTAGTGCTGTGTACGTGCCCTTTGAGAGCACCGTATTTGGGCCTTGGGTTTCTTGAAGCTCTGGTGCTGTTTGGACGTAGATTTGGAATGGGAGAAGGGGTTACGAACCTAGAACCTTGGATATTTTTTAGAAAATGAAAAAATTCGGGCCTCTGCAACCAACCGTACACTGCCATAGTAGAACCTTGGATATGAGATGCGGGTTATTATGGTTTAAGAAATGGAATCTTATCATTTTCCTAGGTTTGGATCTAGGTTTGGGATAGTGCTTGAAGTGGGATACACATGCAATTGACTAAAATAGCCCTTTCTTATATGCAAGCTTTCTTATTACATAGGGGTAGTTTTGTAATTTTATGTCATAATAACATCCTATTCCTACCATAACCTAGCCTCCCCGTTGGGATAATACCGGCGGGAAATGAGCCGAACATTTTCCCATTTCAAATTCTATTCTTTTATCAAACCCTCAAACTAAACATCGGATTAGGTATATCCCAACATATATTTCCCTTTCCCGCCTCTCATTTCTAAGAATTGAAGCGTTATCTCAATGCTCGCCTGGAATGGCAATAGCAAAGTTTGCAGTGTTTGCTACGCTTAATTATGTCTTAATAACAATGTGACTCCCCATAGCTTGATTGGTGCCAAGACTCAATGCAAATAATGTTGGTCCCTCAATTTGAGAGTCCTCAGTGCATCCGTATTTACGCCAGGATCACACACAAATACGCACTAATCACATGCATGGTACACAGATATATAATAAAAGATTCCAAGCTTTATTGATATTCTAAATTAAGGTCTACAACAGTGGCCCAAGAGGCATAGTCATAGGCTACATAGCTAGCGGAAGACTACGGCCATGAAACGACATTATTGGTGGTCTCTAAAGCGGGATTATAACACAACAAAATGGCATCCTATTCCACACACAACTTGAGCGCGGACGAAACCCTAGCCTCGATGTCACATTCCTATGATCATACCTCCTTACGGGAAACCTAATCCTCGCGGTACGTTTCATCTTTGAAGTCATAGTCTTCTTCTGTGCCGAGGTCTGTGAGTCAACAACGGGTAAGTACATACGTACTCAGCAAGTCCCAACCATAGGGTGGAAATAGAGATGTGGTGGTGATTATGATTAAAGGTTGGGTCCTAGCGAAGTATTACCATTCCCACTAGTGCCCGGGTTAGCATAATTCCATTATCAGTTTTATTACACATAAAAAAAACTAATAATAGTACTCCATCCTAGCATTTGCCCATTCCAAGGACGTGGCTATTCGAATAGATTTAATAAACTTTGCAGAGGTGTATAAATTTCTCCAGACGATAGGTGCAACCTCATCCATGATCAGTGGATGAAATAGACCTAACGAGACCTCGTACCCAAATATACGCGACCTTAGATGTCCATATAACTCTACTATGGCTTCTCAGGGGTTGGAGACACAAAACCGGGAAGATACCAAATCCCCCCAAACGTGATGATACCAAATCATCACAAAAGAAAACATGGCTCGAACATGGCTAAGAAAGCAGTGGCTCGAACGTGGCCTAAAAACCTAAAGTTTAACGTGGAAGATCACATAGCATCCACGCCAATCGGATACGGAAGAAATCCATCCCCCGTATCGGCTCCTGATATTCCGCTGCCTACACCAGCCTCCTAGTAGAAACTATACTTTTATCTAACGGGGTGTGAGGTCAAGCCTACCCATATAGACATGTGACTGTATGAAAATAACTCACTAGACGAGAGGGACTACGAACCGGTCCTTATGTGACCGAGGCGAGTATCTCCCACAGGAATCCTCTCTAGTCATCCCTGCCATGGTAAACTATCTCCATAGCTTACCACTACTCGCCCCATGTTGGGTTTAGTTCAGGTTTAACAAGTTTTAAGTTCTATTATTATCCCTAAATCTAGTCATGGTGTGGAGCTCATAGAATAATAAGATAACCATTTATCTTAATTATTTCATACTAACCGAGCTCATTTTCTAAGGTAATAATCTTATAGTCATGCTTTAGCATTTCGGTGGTTTTAAGCAAGATGGCACGGAGGGGAGCTAGGACTTGGCTTCGTCGTTAACACTTTTCGGCACGTCTACGAAATTCGGGTCTTCGTCCTCCTGACGATCACCGTCGTCTGTCGGACGTATCGGTCGAATAAGACTACCGCTACTCGCAAAAGAAAAAGGCAAAAGCAAACATAGAACTATATGGTGGCACTAGGTGCATATGGTAGGGTTTGATTTTAGATGAATTTTAGATGTGGTTTCATGCAAAACAGAGTTATGGTTTAAAAGTTATGAATTTTAGAAGTTTATTCTATAGCTAATTAACTAGGTAGAATTTTATATGCATTTTGTAGTGCATGAAAATAGGTGCAAACTACATGGTTAATTTCTTTAATGCATCTAGTTTATTTACAATTTTTCTGGGAAGTTTTCTAAGTTGGGAAAATAGGATTTTAACATTCTGTGTGCACTAACCGAGTGTACCCAGCGTTTTCCTTAGTGTACCCAGCGCTGTGTGTGGTGTGCGTGTGTGTGTGTGATAGGTGGGTCCCATGGCCACATCAGCTCGGGATGACATCAGGAGCATGGCCCACGTGATAGAGAGATGAGGAGGAGGGGAAGGTAATGGATAGGGACAACGGTAATGGGGACACCGTTACGCCCCTGCCCGCTGGTGGATATTTTCCACCTCACGCACGTGTTCGAGCTCGGTGGCAGTGAGCTGGATGCCTCCGTGTCCGTTCGTACTCTAGCTGGGTCATCGCCGTGCTTGGTCACGTTGGTGAGGTCTTCCCTTGTTGGCTGCCATGCCAGCATTGACGCACTATGGGCGTTGAGAGAGAAAAGAGGGAGGGAGAGGGGAGATGGGACAGCTCAGGGTGTCATCAACTCGGCAACTGTGCGCCTGTCATCCTCGGTGTCGAGCTAATCCACGGCGGGGCCGGTACAGCGGCACAGGCGTGGTCAGCGTGGGGGAGACGAAGGAGCT